CCACCGATGATGCCTTCCATCTAGGTGTCAGCCCCACCCTTGCCGCCCTTCATGGCCATGTCCACCCATCTGGGACAGCCATCCATGGGTGTACCGATCACCCACATCAACTTCCCACACACGCCGTCCCCTGTGCCATCCTTCTCCATCATGCAAGTGCCACCTCTGGCGTCGCCACCGCCATGCACATGCTGCCACCCCTTCCCCACGTGCCGCCACAACCCGAGGCCACGACCGCTCCCCACTACCACAACATCTCCTTTCCCACCAACGATGGTAAGGATGACCCGCTTGGCTGGCTCAACCGATGTGATCGGTTCTTTTGCGCCCAGCGCACTCCCGAGGGCGACAAGGTGTGGCTCACTATTTCCACCTCACGGGTACTGCACAGCAGTGGTACTATGTCCTAGAGCGTGACATCGGCGAGCCCGCTTGGGAGGAATTCAAGCACCTATGCCATCAATGTTTCGGGCCGCCTCTCCGCACTAATCACTTGGCGGATTTGGCCCGCCTGTCATTTCCGGCCAATGTCCCGGCGTACCAGGAGGAGTTCCAGGCACGCATGGCGCATGTGGGGAGCCTCACTCCGTATCAACAGGCGCAACTGTTCACAGGAGGCCTGCCAGAGCACATCCGCATCGATGTGGAGCTCCACGATCCGCAAGATCTCCAACGTGGCATGAGCTTGGCGTGCGCCTATGAGTCGCTGCAACGTCGCCCCACCACTAGTGCTTCTGGCCCCACCACCTCGGCCGCCTTGTCGCCACCTGGCCGCCATAGTCAGGCCATCACTAGCCGCGGCCACTCCAATTGCTGGCGCTACGGGCACCGCCACGGTGTCATCTTCGGCGCCGCCTCGTACATTCAAGCGCCTCACCCCAGCTAAGATGGTCGATCATCGCAAGCTCGGCCTCTGCTACAACTGCGACGAACCGTATGTCTACAGCCACAAATGCCCCCACCTCTTCTATCTTGAGGTCACGGACTACGTCGTCGAGGAGCCCGAGGATGATGTTCCCGAAGACGCTGTGGACGCCGCCTCTGCCGAGCCCGCGGCCTTCGATCCAGATAGGCCAATGATCTCCCTCTCCATGATCACCGGGATTCGCACCAAGGACACAATGCAACTGCACATTCAGGTGGGCGTGCAGGAATTCATGACCCTCCTCGATTCAGGGTTGACACACAACTTCATCAGCTCCACCGTGGCGTGCCAGGCTAGGTTCTAGTTCCATGATGGCCACGGCGCCCGTGTCATGGTGGCCAATGGCAACCGCATGGCATGCTGTTGACTCACCCACGATGTCGCCATCCGCATCGGCGATGAACACTTCACGGTGGACTGCTACTCAATTCCCCTAGACTGCTACGACATGGTCCTCGGTGTGGCATGGCTTCGCACACTGGGGCCCATCCTATGGGACTTTGACAATCTCTGCATGGCTTTCTGGTACCATGGTCGTTGTGTGCTCTAGAAGGGCATCGGCTCTACGCGCACTGACATTCTGCTGATCGGCCGCCTGCACGTCGCCTGTGGTACCGAGCCGGCACTACTGGAATGCCTCCTAGACTCCTATGCGGATGTGATCACCGCATCCATCTCAAGTTGGCTGCCGAGCCCGTCACCGTTCGCCCCTACAGATACCCACAACTCCAGAAGGTCAAGTTGGACTGCAATGTGAAACCATGCTTTGGCAGGGCAATATATGGCCTCACACGTCGCCATTCTCAGCGCCGGTGCTGCTAGTTAAGAAACAAGACGCCTCCTAGAGATTTTGCATGGACTACCGAGCGCTTAACTTCGCCATGGTGAAAGACAAGTTACCCATTCCCGTCGTTGAGGAACTCTTAGACGAACTCCACGGTGCAAGATTTTTCACAAAGCTAGACCTCCAATCGGGGTACCACCAGGTTCGCATCCATCCTGACGATGTGGCCAATACGGCATTTCAAACCCACCATGGCCATTTTGAGTTCTTGGTCATGCCCTTCATGTTGTCCAATGCACCATCGACATTCCAAGCGCGGATGAACTTCGTCCTTAAGCCGTTCCTATGTTGGTGTGTCCTCGTCTTCTTCGATGACATCCTCATCTATAGCTCCTCCTAGACCGTGCACCTGCAACAACTTCGCGCCGTCCTCCGCGAGCATCAGCTGCACATCAAGCGGTCCAAGTGCGCCTTCGCCACCTCCTCGGTCTAGTACCTGGGGCACGTGATTTCAGCAACGGGCGTCGTCATGGACGAGGCCAAGGTGGAGGCAGTGCAGTCATGGCCACAGCCGCGTTCCGCTCACGGTCTGCATGGTTTCCTTGTCTTGGCTGGTTATTACCGGCGTTTCATTCAAGACTTTGGCACCATTGCCGCACCATTGACACAACTCCTCAAGAAGATGGATTCTAGTGGTCTGAGGCAGCCACCACGGCGTCCACGGCTCTCAAGAGCACCCTATCCACTGCTCCCATGCTGCACCTTCCCGATTTTAGCAAGGAGTTCATGGTGGACTGCGATGCGTCGGGCTCTGGCTTCGGCGCCATCCTCCATCAGGGCGCTAGGTCGCTCACCTTCTTCAGCAAGCCAATCGCTGCCCACCATCTCAAGGTTGCTGCATATGAGCGCGAGCTCATCGGCCTCGTCCAAGCTGTCCACCATTGGCTCCCCTACCTCTAGGGATGCGCCTTCGTCGTGCACACCGACCACTACACGCTAAAGTTCATGCTGGATCAGCGCATGTCCACTATCCCGTAGCCCCAATGGATTAGCAAACTATTTGGTTTTGATTTCAGGGTTGAGTATTGTCTCGGCCGGCTCAACATGGTCGCCAACGCACTGTCGCGCCGTCACGGTGATGACCTGGCCCTATCGGCATTGTCGGTGCCCTCCTTCAAGCTTTTCAATGAGCTGCACTAGGAGCTCGCGTCCTCCAACGATCTGTGGGCGCACCAGGACGCCGTCGCCGCTGGTGACCACGGTGACTCCTGGCACATCCACGATGGCCTGATCCTCCACGATGGGTGTGTGTTTGTTCTGGGCACATCAGCGCTCCTCCCTGATGTCCTCTATCTCGCCCACACAGCGGGACATGAGAGGGTCCAGAAGGCGCTCCAATGACTACGCACCGAGTTCTTCATCGAGCATGACCGGTGCACCGTCCGCGACTATGTCCACACGTGTGCCACTTGCTAGCAAAAATAAAGACCATGGCATTGCACCCCGCCGGCCTCCTCCAGCCATTGCTGGTGCCCTCCCGCGTCTGGTCCGATATATCTATGGACTTCGTCGAGGCGCTTCCCAAGGTACACGGCAAGAGCGTCATACTCATGGTGGTTGACAGGTTCTCGAAGTACGCCCACATCATTCTGTTGGGCTACCTATACATGGCGTCCTCTATTGCACGCGCCTTCTTCCATGACATCATCCGCTTGCACGGCTTCCCCGACTCGATCGTCAGTGACCATGACCCCATGTTCACCGGGCACGTGTGGCGCGACCTCTTCCGGCTGGCCGGCGTCCAGCAGCGCATGATCACGGCGTTCCATCCTCAAACTAACGGCCAGTCCGAGGCGGTGAACAAGACGATCGCCATGTACCTCTGTTGCATCACCGGCGATCGCTCATGTGACTGGCTGGACTAGCTTCCCTAGGCGGAGTATTGCTATAATACTTCATTCCACTCCGCGCTTCGCACGTCGCCGTTCACCGTGGTCTACGGTCGCTCACCCATGGCCTTGCTGCCTTACCAGCCGGGCAATGCCCGCACCGACACCGTTGACTCCCTGCTGGCCAACCGCGACGAGTTTCTCATGGAGGTACGTGCCCGTCTGCTTTAGGCGCAGGAGTACGCTCGCCGGCACTACGACGCACATCATCGCACTCTGGAGTTCGCTGTTGGGGACTAGGTGTGGCTGCGGCTACTTTATCGTCCAGCTCACTCCCTGGTGGCCGGTGCCCGCGGGAAGCTCGGCCCCAAGTACACTGGGCGGTATCAGGTACTGGACCGCATGGGCATGGTGGCCTATCGCCTCCAGCTTCCTGAGGGCGCCTGCATTCACGACATGTTCCATGTGGGCGTGCTGAAGCTGTTCCGTGGCACCCCTCCGACGTCCGTTCTGGCGCTTCCACCTCTTCAGGACTGGCGTCCCCTTTAGCAGCCGGAGCATGTCCTGCACGTCTTAGTCCAGTGGGCGAACATGCCCGCGTCCGAGGCCACCTGGGAGCCAGTCGACGCGTTCCGCGCCGCGCACCCCTCCTTCCAGCTCGAGGACGAGCTGTTTCCCAATGGGGGGGTTGAGATGTTATGGTGGGCCACACCTATCATCGAAGGAAGCGCAGCCGTGGCTAGGGGGTCAGCGCACAGCGAGCGAAGGCGTTCTGGGCGCGATCACCACGGCAACTCGGCGCCAACATTTCAGGATCGTTAGTTGGGTTGTTATCTATCCCTTGGTTTATTAGATCACTTGAGTGTTCCGAGGAGTTTGTTAGAAGTGTATTTGGATTTGCATATAAGGCCTGAACACTTGTTTAATGAAAAGGTTAGCCAGATGTTAGAGTTAATCTCTCTCTTGCTCCGTGGCGACATTGCTCTCGCTCTCTCTCGTTTCCTAGCCCTCGGCGCCGAGCATGGCGCCACCACCTCGCCGCCAGGCGTTCAAACCACGTCTGTCCACCTCACACACATACCACCTGCGCAGCAATCCAAGCTCCAACAACTTTATTTCATGTTTTGTTACAATTTGGCATATCGTTGTATTCAAGCATGGGAGTGGAGCATGGGATTGGCATATTGCACTGCACTACCAGTCAGGTTTTAATGACCGGTGCTTATTGAATTCAACGGAGATTGCTTGACATTGATGGAAATTCTACATTTGTTTTGCTCTTAGCAACTCATATATAGGAGCAGGTCATGTGGATAGATAAACAATTGAAGTGATAATAATGCCATTTCCCTTACAATTAATTAACACGAGTTATAGATACTAAAGGTCTATACTAGGTGGCCTAAGATGGATTTACTCCTTTGAAAGGGTGATAATACCTGTACATTGAGTGTATGGTATTGACTAGCGTGGCAATGGAGATGATAGTGCCGACAATGACAAAGAAGGTGACCGTTTGCCTAGGAAAGCACTGCCGCCCAACCCTTCTCACCACCCTTGCGGCTCTGCTCTGCTGATGCGACGCGACTTCCTTGCAGAGGTCGAGCAGATCGTCAGGCAGGCAGGTGTCACCGTACTCGTCCCTGAGCCCCCTGAAGAAATCGACGATCTCCTTGTCGGTCTTCTGCGTGTGCATGAGAATCCCCCTCTTCCTCAGCAGCTTGACGTCCGCCTCGCTCTGCAGCAGCCGGGCCATGCAAATGGAGTAGGCCGTGGCACCCAGGCCGCATCGGAGATGGTTCTGCTCGAACGCGATGAGACTGCGGAAAACACAGTCGCTGTAGTTGTGGACGCACAGCGGGGGTATGGCCATCACGGCGCGCATACCCAGCGTGTCTCTCTGGAAGGAGATGTCCAGGGAGCACCAGCTTGTCTTGTCCGTCGCCTTCTTCTTGAGACGAGTGAGTGACTCCTTCAGCTCTGTCGCGCATGGCAGATGAGGCTCTGGTTCCTTGGGCACGATGGATGAGACCCCAACCTTGTGCTTACCTCTGGGCACGCGCGACCAGTGGAATAGGTGCAGGAGGTGATGGACCTTTGGTGGAAACTGGTCGTTCGCTGCTGATGCTAGTTGTGCACCGCCAGGGTGGATGTCGTCGAAGCAAGAGAGGGCGAGTTCTTGGATGCTGCGGTTGATATTGTGAAACAAGGTTCCCTTCAGTCTTTGATGCAGCTCGGCGAGCACAAAGAAGGGGATCTGGTTGTCCAGCATCAGCAGGTCCAGCCTGGTCTGTTTGGTGTGCAAGGATATGTCGGCCGACAGGTAGATGAACTCTTTGCCGTGCTCTTTGTCTCGGGCCAGCTCCGCTGGCCGCTTGCCCTCGCACACGTTCGTACTAAGAAGGAACACAGCGAAGAGCAGAAGGCAGCCGTCGAGCAGCAGCATCTCGGCCATCTCCTCAGGGCCCAAGACGAACGAGTCCCGCTCATAGCAGCAGCGAGCTTGAGCGTCCATGTTCCGCGCCCACCCAAGGAAATCAGCAGCATCAAGACCGAACCGGTCGGCGAGGAACATGACGATGCCGCACTTGTTGGCGCGGGTTATGAGTGGCGGCGTACGGCGATGGTGCTGGTACGGACCCACGGCTGCGACAACAATGTCACGGCCTGTGCCCACGTCGTCCGTGGTTGCCTGGAGCTGCCCGCCGGCGGAGCATCCAGCTTGTGGCGCGCGGTTGGCAGCGCCACTGCTGCCGAGTTCAGGCGGTGGAGGAGCAGCCGGGTTTGATGGGCTACGAAGCTGGGGCAGAGACAGCGATGTGGCGGCGGCGGTGGCGTCAACGGCGGCAGCATCGCTCGTCTTGTGGCGACGCTTGAAAATGGATGGGTGGTCTGGGTTACCAAAGGCATCGAACCTTCGGAAGCATGGAGGTGGGCTGCGGCGAACTCCCTCAGCTTCCTGGCTGATTCTCAGCCTGATCTCCTCCCTCCATTTTTCCTGATCTCCTCCCTCCATTTGGGCATTGGGGCCGGGATCTATGCTCCTCGCCTGTGTGCGCATGCTAGTCGCTAGCTAGGGTGGGTTTGGTAGACTCGTAGCGCACAATGGACTCTGGTCCAATGGTACGGTTGGTTTTAATCGCAAGCGTCACCGAGTCAAGTCAAGAACAAGGTGGAATTAATGCTTTACGTGTATCCACCTAAAACCGCGTATTCGCGTGTAGCTACTGCCTGCTGGACTACTCCCTCCGTGTTAGAACAATTATACTAAGGCCTTGTTTAGATGCACACCAAATTCCAAATTTTTTCACTCTCTCTCCATCACATCAATTTTTAACCGTTTGCATGGAGTATTAAATGTAGGTAAAAAAAATAACTAATTACACAGTTTAGTTGGAAATCACGAGATGAATCTTTTGAGCCTAGTTGGTCTACGATTGGACAATATTTGCCAAATAAGACGAAAGTGGTACTATTCATCGGGTTGCAAAAATTTGCAAAGAGAACAAGGCCGTACTATTCAAATTTTTTTATCTTGCAAGAGTTACTCACTTCATGCGCAAAAGAATACAACTACAAGTCATATGCATATCAAACTAGTTTAATTTTAACGGAGTTTATAGTAAATAGTAGTACTCCCTTCATTCCAAATTACAGTCGCCATGACTTTTTTTTTGATACATCAAATTTTGCTATGCTTTTTCGATACATCGAATTTACTATGTATCTAGACATGGTTTACGAGAGCAGTAGACTCGATGTAGCGATAATTTGGAGCGGAGGGAGTAACATTCCTATCTTAAACTAGGTTTACTACAAACATATACTTTATAATTGATTTAATGAGACTTATTTATATAATTTTGATCAAATTTTAAATCGTTGGACTTCTCGAAAAACGAGAATTATATTCTTTTACGAATGGAGGGGTACACATTAGAATGCAATGTACTACCTCCGTCTACAAAAGAATGCAGTTCTTACATTTCGAGGAGTCAAACAATATAAACTTTGACTAAAATTATATGAAAAAGTGCTAACACCCATGAGACAAGATAAGTACCATTAGATTAGTTATAGAATATATTTTCCTAATAAATTTGTTTGGAGACACAAATGCTAATATTATTTATTATAAACTTACTTAAACTCAAGCTAGTTCCACCGGCAAGGTTTCCATAATTACAATTTTTTTTTACTTGAGAGAGTATTTCTAAGCTAAACTGGTGTACCAGCTCATGGTACCAACAAAAACAAATCAACTTGTATCAGAAAAAGAAAAGGGCCCTCTGTCAAGACTCCGAAGCTCCGGAGGTTTCCCGTTCACTCATTTCACAGCCGTGTTTTTTTTAATAAATTGTGGACTGTTTGCTACAATGATTATAGGGGCAACATCCATGTTTTTAGTAGCAGTCGTAGTTTGCTCGCTGAACTCCAGAACGTGAGTTTATTCTGAGGCAAAGGCACTAGGTAAAAAAAATAGTTTACGGCTTTTGTTCCAAAAAAAGTGTTTTAGAATGTAGTATGGGGGTGACCGTCCACCCACCTCTACAAATTCTTGCCGATGCAAACATTAGCCTCAGCTCCTGGCTTGAGAGCGCTAGAGCATTTTCCAGCAGTAGTTCCCTGCATGTGAAGCTAGAAATTTATATCGTCGGGGTCTCTTTTGCAATCTTATGTATTTTGAAGGAGATATTTACCACTCTTATGGTATAATTATAGAAGGATTAGTAAGTTTCACTTGGGTCTGCTGACCCCAATAAATGCTTGTAGCTCCACCCCGTTGAATCCACATATCAGTACATTGGAGTAGAAATTAAACATATATACCCAAATCTATCCAACGCATATGGATTGAGGTTGATACGAGTGCATTCAAACAAACCGATGACACTAAAACCACAAATCGATGAATCGTCCAAGTACACTTCGGACAATAATGTCGAACTGGTCGTAGAAGGCACCGAAGGTGTCACCACATACCACATACACATCTACATCTCAGTGTTACGGTCACGTGTACTCCCGCCAAGAGCTTCCTAGAGCTCCAACAACTACATTACCACTTTTCGTAAAGACCAATCAATGACTCGACACCGAGATTTGAGGAGGAGAGAGAGAGAGAGAGCCAGGGCCTCACCGGGATCAGCGAGAGGAGGAGAGAGCCCTAAGATTGTTGGCCTGTGCATGGATTAAGAAACCCACCCAACCCACCTGTATTAGATCCACCCAAACCCTAGAAGCAATTTTCATGATTTGGGTCGACACAGGCAGTGCCGGCCCTAGGGGGAGGGCACGAGGTGCGACGGTCGAGGGCCCATGCCGGGGAGGGGCCCAAGTCTAGGTATACAAACCCCTAGGCCCAATAATTCATTAGGCATCATCAGCAAACTAATGGGAAGACACAAGATAGGCATAGAATTGGCCAGGCCGCCCAAGAAGACAACGTTGGTCTTTCTTTCCAAGGCAGAGAGGAGGCGAGGAACCACGCCACACACTCTGATCACGACTCATGAGTTCGCGACACGCCGACGCGCGGAGAGCTGGACCGCCAGAGAACGGCGCACGACGGCGGCGACCGGGCAAGGCTCCACGACGACGACATCTTGATTCCTGCCTCCTTGCGAATTGCATTCGCCGATCAGTTGTTTCAATTCATGTCCACGTCCTAGGTTTTTTTTCTTGTTCATTTTTTAATCCAAATTAATTATTTGTATAATATTCCAGACTTCTAGTATTTTGTACTCGTATAGTTATGGTTTACTTCTAATTTAGGTGTTAGATTAAAAATATATTATTGTATTATTTTTACTTTGCAAGTAAAATTAGCGCCTATATATTATAAGATTTTAGAGGAGCCATGATGACGAGTTCGCCAGTGGGCCCTCAAGATCATAGGACCGGCACTGGACACAGGCTAGACCCATTAGATGCATGGATCAATATAGCATCTGAAAATAAATCATCGGTTCTTCCTTCTCTTGTGAACTCCTCGCTCTCTTGTTCCTACTGAACCTACAATAGGAGGAAGAGTGCTACCGCCATTGCTAGTCGCATCTTGGTGCGAAGCCCGACGGGGATAGAGGAGGATTATGACTTATAGGGTATTGAATCCATTCCAGCCCCCTTGGGTTTGGCATTAAACGAACAAGCCCCTAGCAAGTTCGTTCGCAGGTAGATGACAAAATCGGCAAAACTGTGTAAAACCACCCATAAAACAGGCCTAAGAGATGGAGAGAGGACGGGAAGAATGAATGAAGTTGTGAAATTTGCTTTGAAATAAAGGGCACCTAAATATTTTAAGATGAGACGGCAGTAAAATTCTATGGTCTACAAAATATTTAGACGCGTGAGCGTGACTATCTTTTTCTACCTACCACAATGCTTACCTACCAGAGCATTTGTTCCTAGAAAACTATCATTTTGTCAGGAAGAGCTCTACGATTTTGAAATATCACTCTAGAAAAACAAACATGCCAGTGTTCTATATATTTTTTCCTAGGGAAAGGAATTTGTGGATTCCAGTAGTACAAAAGTCCAAGGTTCAAAGTTGTCATATCCTAATCAATGATTGAGTCATGCATGGCCTCGTTTAGATCACCTCTAAATTCCAAGTTTTTTCACTCTCTCTTCATCACATCAATTTTTAGCTGTTTGCATGGAGCATTAAATGTAGGTAAAAAAATAACTAATTGCACAATTTAGTTGGAAATCACGAGATGAATCTTTTGAGCTTAGTTGGTCCACGATTGGACAATATTTACCAAATAAGACGAAAATGCTACTATTCATCGGGTTGAATTTTTTTGCAATCTAAACATGGCCCATGTAAGGAAATTCTTGGCTGCGTCGGTGAACTTGCTCGGTAGTTGGCTAGTTGCACAGCACAAAGGAATCGTGATCCCGGGGGTACTTTAATCCCCAGTGGCCAGTCCCAACAACTGACGAACACGACAGAAGAAGCAGCAGTATCTTGTTGGCACCGGTTGTACCGCACGCCCTAGTCAATGATTGCATAACGTGCAGTACATATCATTCGCCGCGTCTACGAACTTTTCTTCGGTATACCAGTAGTTGCATCCCAATCATATTCAGGCGCAACAATAAAAAGTGATCATGATGATTGTACTGTACTGGGTCAAGGCGAACGTGTTTTAAGTTCAACGCGAACGTGTTTTCTTTCAATTGAGCACTTTCGGAGAGCAATTTTTTCTTAACCCTGCCAAACTATTTCCAAAAATTAACCCTCAGGCTAGTCTCAGTGAGATTTTATGTGACCATGTCCCTGTTTTTACCCACGTGTTGAAAATAGTGTAGACAAGTTTCATTACCATGAAACTTTCGTCATCTCTCTTCATTTATACTATGTTATTATGTCAGTTTAAAAACAGACTAGAATACAGAGTACTTCAATGGCTGGCAACTCTTTCTCTCTCTCCCTTGTGTCCATATAGGGCTTGATACTGGCTCTTTAAGATAATGAGCCAGTTCGACTCAACTCGTTATCTTAACAAGCTAGAAGGCCAGCTCGGCTCCGCTCGTTTACGAGCTTGAGCTAGGCAAAATAAAAACACACAAATCTAATATATGTGTTTATCTGAAACCTGAGAATCATAATAATACAAAACAACTCGTTTACACTACTACAGAATCGAACATCACTGCCAGCATCATCAGTGCCAGATTTTGGTGAACCGGCGGTGATAAACCTTCACGGTTCTGAGCTCGAAAATGAGAAAATGATTTGGGGTTAGTGAAAATGACAGTGAAAGCCCACATCACTGTCGGTTTATGGCTGTAACTGATAGTGAGTGGACAGTCACATCACTACCGGTTCTAGCCAAGAACCGACAGTGATGTGGAGATATCACTCTCGGTTCAAGGTTCAAGCCAAAAACCGATGGTGATAAATTGACAGTACAAAAAGCTGCCGCCGTCCTCTCCTCCCTCCTCTCTTCCATCCCGAGCACACAGCCACTCATTTTTCCCCTCCCTCCATTGTTGCGGCTGCTCTTC